GATAAAGAACATTCCTTCAGTTAGTATACCGGTATATACAGAATGTCGCGTGATGCAAAGAGTTATCCAAGTAGGATTGCAGGATTTTAAACTTAGCATAAGTATTTATAATGTATATTCTTTACGTGGCTGCTATTCTTGTTCAAATTTTGTATCTGTACTTAATATTCATCTAGCACTAAGATCTTGAACGCGCCCCTAATTGCGCCCTCTATAAATACTGACAAATGGGTTCTATAATGCCTTTGCAAGGGCTAGTATTGTTGACCTAAATTATCTCCGTGGTGTAATATGGTTCTATTTAAAGATGATTATATATATATTTTTTTAAATAATGTATGTTATGTTCTCAAAATGACGAACTCTATTACTCGGAGTGATACATTTTTAAGTGTTTAGACAGCCTACGAAATACAGCGCCACTTGGCAAGTTATGTAACTCTACTGAGTCGTCTAAAAATATACGATTGGAAATCCCTGACCCTCTGTCGGCTACTTTAGTGTAGGAGTTATCATAATAGGTGTTAATTAGTACAGTCGATATCAATTTTCGTATGTTCGGAAATCCTGCGTTAGTGCGGTTCTTATCTCAGAACAATATGGTGCGTATTAATAATTATATTTCACAAATCTTATTTCTGCAGTGGTAATTCGAAAAAGTAAATGACCATACATGTTTAAATATTGATACAATTACCGAAAAAAGATTTATGCGCACGTGTATTTAAAAGTTTCATTAAGATTTCAATGAGTATTTAAAAAATCAAATTGGAATTAAATCTTTTAGAAGTATAATTCAATAAAAAATTATTTAATTAGGTTCTATATCTAGTTTGTATCTACATTTTGTAGTTTCATTACATAATTTTTCACGCCCTCTTCTGCGTAAGCCTTTATTTCAAACAATGTAAATACAAACGAGGAATTTTATCATTATCACACTTGCATTATGCAGGGGGCTATCAATGATAATGATTTCACAGCATCAAATTATCCTTTAGTAGCACAAACTTGAACGCATTTATATAGAGTCTATACTTGTTTTGTAGTTTTTATTTGTAACATTAAAATACAAAATATTTTGATGCAAAAAAATCCTTTTCACTGAACGCTTAGGTGTTGTGGCTATTACTTCTTGTCAACCTGTTTTACATGATAGTAATAAACTGAAGCATTTTAAAGTATTTTCGCCAAAATGAGTTCAAGAAAAATACGAACGAATTTTAATGTGATATTTTTTTCTAAGTAGAAGAGTATTTGATTTAACATTTTTATTTTAAAAAGAAATATTGACAAATCGGCTTCAAATATAACACGAGAAACAGAATGGCCAAACTTTTTTTTTTAAATTTCGGTAAAAATAAATTATAATTCATGTGTGTGAGAGTCAGAGATGAAGGATCACAGGTACTTGTGGACAGGACTCCCCCTTTCATATTGTACACATGATGAATAAGTGTAATAAATATAATTTGTGGGAAAAAGAATGTCCAACAATTGAACTATTGAACAGAGAGAGAGATGTCAACAATGACGCCGATCCATAGCCCTGCCTCCTATAAATATTGATTGTGTGACCTAAAACCCACTCCGGGTACATGTCGAATTCCGGAAGACGATACTCCTGTATCTTTGTTTCACTTTGATACATGACAACATGGCATTATTTTTGCACAAATGTTCCACCTAATATAACCAAGTATATGTAGCTCTTCCCATTGCTCGTAACATATTTTGGATTCACTTCATTTACAGCTTGGTATAAGAGTCGCAAAAAGATCCAAAATAGGGAGTGAAGTCCACCATTCTTTGTCAAAAAAAAAAAAAAAAAAGAAAAGAAAACTTTCCAACTAATGCAGAGCTATATACATAATCTGAAATGAAGTAAGTCAGAAGAAAAAAATCGGATTGTAATATTGATATCAATTCAATTTTTATCACAGAAACCTGGATCCACAATGCAACACAGGTAATCTTGTTCTTCGGACGGGAAACAGTGTTACTGTCCTATGGTGCGACAAACAAAGAAGGGTTAAAAAAGTAAAATCACTTTCTTTAATAAGATTGCACAGAGATAGTAAATTAGATTATCTTTGTTAATTTTTTTTTTTTTTTTTTTTTTTTGCATTTTTTTGCATTTTTTAAGACTTTGTTATAGTAACACAACTTACATTCGATGTTATTTAACGTAGCAGTCAAGGCGATCAAGAGGCGGGTTTAGTTGAACCATGCTTAGCGCTTCCCAGTACTTTCAGTACTTTGATTTTTATTAATTCGTGGCCACGAAATAAAAATTCGTGGGAACGAAATAAAATTTGTGGGAACGAAATAAAAATTCGTGGCCACGAAAAAAAATTTGTGACCACGAAATAAAGTTGTGCTATATAAACCAATTTTAGCTTCTTCTCTCTTATGTATTGACATATAGAGTTCGCAATTTAGACGCCAATGTGTGCATACACGCGCGCGCGGAACTGCAAACAAAAGTTGAGAAGAGATGTTATTTACATGTAGCTAAGCTTATGTCTAGTGCATTTTTCAATGTACTTCACACATTTATTCCTCAAATAAATAGCGTGTTATTGTAAAGCTTTTCTTTTCTTAGTCAATCACTCAATGTTTATTTGTAATAATCAGTGGCAGAGTAACCCCTATTATCGGGAACATGACATCTTAAAAATAAAAGCAATACTCAGATATAGTCATGATTGTTTTCGCATAAAACTCAACTGTTTAATACAAATGAAAGTGTGTGCTCTTCAATACAGGTACATATGGGAAATAAACTAGTGAGATCAGTATTGAAACTATTTATAGGTTTAATTATAGGTCACCACAGTTATTCGTTCATCAGCTCTTCATGCAATTAATCTGCAAAAATCAAATTTCAATAATTAATGATAATTCAGGCATATTATTTATATTCCCATAGCGATTTTATATAAAAATCCATTTGGCTTATTCCAATTGTTTGGCTTATTCCAACTGAACGATAATAATACATTCATCTTGAATGACATACATACAAATGAAGAAGCTAAAAATGACATTATATAGCACAACTTTATTTCGTGGCCACGAATTTTATTTCTTTCCCACGAATTTTATTTTGTGGCCACGAATTTTATTTCGTTCCCACGAATTTTTATTTCGTGGCCACGAATTTTATTTCGTGGCCACGAGTTTTTATTTCGTGGCCACGAATTAATTAAAAAAATTCTCATATCATGTCCTATACCAGCCACCGTACATTTACAACTCGCTTGTGGCATATATTTTTTTTTATTCCTTCAACATTTTTAGCCGGGCTTATTGCTCAAAGAGCAATTGCCGGCTTATGTGATCCTGTTCAAGGCAGGATGTTGACCCCATAGTCGCCATTTTAAAGTTACGTGCAAAAATATAGTTCTTACTCTCAACCGCTTTTGAGATAATACAAACGCTAAATAAAGCAACAAAAATAAAACAAAGTTTTATCTATATAAAATAAACATTAGTAGTAATGACTTTGAAAACTTCATAAGTCAAAGAACATAGTTCATTAGCGTAAGGATTTTTGATAATCAGTGTTACCGTAGTTCTCTACACATACGAGGTAAAGCAGGAGAGGGAACCAGACTGACCTGTTTGTTTACATTCAGCTGCGGTACCAGATTAATTCTGATTCAAAATCGGACCGTGGTATTAGGATTGAAAAACTCACTGTCAGTGTCTTATGATTTATATTGATAGTTTTAAAATAATTTTTTTCATCAGAATATAAATATGATTCATGTAAGAAATCCATTCTACTCTGTAAATGAGCCCGGCTCTCTGTACTTCTGAGTACTTTGATTAGAGTTTATTCAGGATATATCCCGAGTAACACAAAATTGCATCGTTATCTGCTTCTCCGTGACGCTCTAAAACGTCATGGTTTTTGTCGTTTTTAATGAGGACTTTTTTCCCCTTTATATGATCCATTTTACAGAGAATATGACTACAGACATTATTTAGTGTATTGTTTGTAACTTACTCAATTGCGACCTGCTTCGCGATTTTTAGGTCACCTATTGCTACATGTACATGTTTTTTTCAGCTTCTTCTCTGCAACCACTCAACCAATTTCAACCAATTTTGGCATAAAGCATCTGTGGGTAAAGGAAACATTTTTTTTTTTAATTTCATGGTCCCTGTCCCCCTGGGGCCTGAGGGGTGGGCACAAAACCACTAAGATTAATTAAATTCTGTGAAAATCTTTTCCTTGCTCCAGGGTATTATGCCAATGATCTAAGTACATATTAATTATGATGAAAGGTGCTTCATCCAAAATGGTTAAATTTAGGGTCCTTGATGTCCAGGAGTAAAGATGAAGATTTTTAAAGATTGCATTAATTTTATTGGTTTTGCCCCCATCCCTCAGACCCTAGGGAGCAGGGACCATGAAATTCACAATTTTTGTTCCCCTTCACCAATAGATGCTGAATGCCAAAATTGGTTGAGTGGTTTCAGAAAAGAAGCTGAAAATGACCTTAAAAGTGAGTGAGTTAGAGATTCCCTACTTGTACAGAATCTGTGCATGATTATGAATTTTTCTTGGAGTTACCACAACACATGTATCGATCGAACACGTGTTTACTAGGATGTTAATTTAGATTCTCAATTAAATTGATTATTATTTCGATATCGATGGAATACCTGACCCCAAGACCACAAACCGAGAACTGAGGTCAAAATTTTTTATTTTTAATTAAAAAAAAAGTTTCATTCAATGTATTACCTAAACAGATTACAATTGTGCAAAACAATGCAAACATATGATAAAAAAATATTTTATTATCAGAATTATTTCGAAAGTTATGTCGATTTTGAAATTTTGACTTAATTCTGTTCTCAGTTTATGGTCTCGGGGCCAGTTCTACAATATTATTCATATGAGCAACTTTTTTCTTTCTTAAGAAATGGGCATGTCATTATATGACAATCAACATTCTATTTAAAGATAGCTCAAAACATTCAGTTTAAACGGAAAATTTTACCATTTCAATGCTTTTCATTGTATGTTTGAAATCAATACTAACGTCTTCTGCTGCTTCCATCATAAACTGTTTAGCACCCTCATCCCAGATAGCGGGAACAGTAAGTACCCATTGAATGAGGTCCTCAGTACAATTGTCCGCTACTTTTTCCAAAGTTTCCATAAGGTGCTCTTTGAGGAACTTTATTGCCATCGTAAATATTGCAATCGCAGGCATTTCAATACCGTTTATGTCCTTTATCAAGGTAGACCGTCCTAGTCTCTGTTAATTATACAAAGAAATTTACAACAGTCTAAAGGCATTGCAATTGCAATGTTTGGTTTATTTCACACATTGAATAAAGAACATGTGCTGATCTCTAAAACGGGAGGGGGGTTAGCTTCCTTAAATCATTTATTAACGGACTCTTATTGAATACATTTGCTTGTATCTAATGAACATGAAAAAGACTTTTCAGGTTTTGATGAGGATTCCCTCCCTCCTCTAGAAAAAAAATTCTGGATCCGCGCTTGTTGTTTATACCAACTTTATTCTTATGAAGAGCCATCTTGAAGCGTTTGAAGTACAGCCATCCCTCATGCTCACTAAGTTCTGTTAGTGATGCATATTTGTCTTCGGCGTCATATCCAAATGAATCGAAGTTTTTATCCGGCTTCAACAGAATCACTGATGGTGCTTTATGAGAAATCAGGGATTGACTCCCAGCTATCCAGTTATAGGCTTTGATTCTAGATGGATCTTGATCAAAATCAACACGAAATGAGAATGCGTACCCAGAATATGTTGTACCAAAGTCAATGGCTGCAACCAAATGTGGTGCTGTGAAACTGGACTCTACCTCTTTACTTTGTTTTAACTCCACCTCTTTCCTTTGTTTTGATTCCACCTCTTTACTTTGTTTTGATTCCACCTCTTTACTTTGTTTTGAGCCCATATTGCTTGATAGATTAGGATAAAAGTGGATGAGATTCTTTTTCTTTGAATCCCCAATGTGTTGCAAGTTTTTGTTTCCTAAAAAAAGAAATAAAATTGTTAAATTTAAATTACACTAATTGATAAGCAAATGATATGTTAAGTGTAACATTACATGAAATACAAATAAAATTCCTGTAATATGACAGGAGAAAGTGACACACAGAAACATGGCGTATGTTTTAATGACTTCACATAGCAAAGCAGACCATTTCTAAACAGATACTTAAAAAATAAACAATAATGTTAAAAAGTTCTCTGGGAAATGAACTTAGTTGGTCACGTGATCAAATCCTGTGAAGCCCAAAGGGTTTCTCAGTAGATTTGAATTTGATCACGAACCATATCCGAGTAAAACTGCATTTATTACACGAAGTGGCCGCCGTATTGCTATATTATGACGTGCAATGACCTAGAAGTTGTTTGGTCTTGAAAGTTCACCTTGCTCCAACATTTGAATGTTTACATTCATGTTTAGCAGTCCAGTTCAGGAAAAGGGCAATAACCTTATGCTGTAGTTTTAATACGTAAGTTTCGATTTCGACTGATGCTCTCCGCTCCCCCATTCTTTTTGTTGTCGGAAGGTCAAAAAACCCAAATGCAAACATTCGAAAAAATGTTCTGAAATCGAAATTAAAGTGTAGTGCACAGGTTGTTTGTGAGTGTGTACTTGGCTTGTCACTCTTTTTGGGGGTTGCCCCCTTTGAAAACCGTTGTACCTACGGAGCTTTCAGCTCAACGTAGCCAAGAGCTCGAGGGAGTTGTTCAGCTCACCTGAGCCAAAGGCTCAAGTGAGGTTTTCTGATCATATCTTGTCTGTTGTCCGTCTGTCCAGCTGTCTGTCCGTCCGTCTGTAAACTTTTCACATTTCCGACTTCTTCTCAAGAACTTGGCCAATTTTAACCAAACCTTTAACAAAGCATCCTTGGGTAAAGGGGAATCAAAATTCTTAAAATAAAGGGCCAAGTTCCCTTACAAGGGGAGATAATCAAGAAAAGACAAAAATAGGGTGGGGTCATTAAAAAATCTTCTTCTCAAGAACCACTGGGCCAGAAAAGCTGAAACTTATGTGGAAGTATCCTGGGGTAGTGTAGATTTTAAATTGTTCAAATCATGACCCCCAGGGTAGGGCGGGGCCACAATTGGGAATCAAAGTTTTACATAGAAATATACTAGTATTGGAAAAATGTTTGAAAATCTTCTTCTCAAGAACCACTATGTCAGAAAAGCTGAAAATTATGTGGTTCCAAACATCCTGGGGTAATGTAGATTTAAAATTGCTCAAATCATGACCCCCAGGGGTAGGGCGGGGCCACAATGGGGAATAAAAGTTTTACATAGAAATATATATGAAAAATCTTTAAAAATCTTCTTCTAAACAACCACTGGGCCAGAAAAGCTGAAACATATGTGGAAGCATCCTTGGGTAGTGTAGATTCTAAATTGTTCAAATCATGACCCCCGGGGGTAAGGCGGGGCCACAATGGGGAAGCAAAGTTTTACATATAAATATATAGGAAAAATGTTTGAAAATCCTCTTCTCAAGAACCAATGGACCAGAAAAGCTGAAACTTATGTGGAAGTGTCCTGGGGTAGTGTACATTCTAAAATGTAAAAATCATGACCACCAGGGGTAGGGTGGGGCCACAATGGGGAATCAAAGTTTTACATAGAAACATATTGGAAAATGTTTGAAAATCTTGTTGTCAGGAACCACTGGGCCAGAAAAACTGAAACTTATGTGGAAGCATCCTGAGGTAGTGTAGATTTAAAAATGCTCAAATCATGACCCCCAGGGGTAGGGCGGGGTCACAATGGGGAACATCATTTTTACATAGAATATATAGGAAAAATGTTTGAAAATCTTTTTCTCGAGAACCACTGGGCAAGAAAAGATGAAACATATGTGGAAGCATTCAGAGGTAGTGTAGATTCTAAATTGTTCAAATTATGACACCAGGGGGGGGGGGTCGGGCCACAATGGGGAATCAAATTTGTACATAGAAAAATATTGAAATTTTTTTAAAAAATCTTCTTCTCAAGACCACTGGGCAAGAAAAGCTGAAACTTATGTGGAAGTATCCTGGGGTAGTGTGGATTCTAAATTGTTAAAATTATGACGCCGGGGGTAGGGTGGGGCCAAAATGGGGAATAAAAACTTACATAGTAATATATAGGGAAAATCTTTGAAAATCTTCTTCTGAAGAACCACTGGGCCAGAAATGATAAAACTTATGTGGAAGCATCCTGGGGTAGTGTAGATTCTAAATTGTAAAAACATAACCCCAAGGGGTAGGGTGGGGCCACAATGGGGAATCAAAGTTTTTGCATAGAAAATATGCCAAAAAAGAACCACTGGGCTGTAAAAGCTGAAACTTATGTGGAAGCTTCCTTGGATAATTTAGATTTCAAATTGTCCAAATTATGATCAATTGGGTAGGGTTGGGTCACAATATATATTAAAAGTGGAAAATCTGGTAAAGAACAGCATGGTCTAAGGTTCTCAGGTGAGCGATGTGGCATATGGGCCTCTTGTTTTTAATCGAAGCATATCCGGTGTTCGTCTGCCGATTTTTAATATTTTCGAGTTCTTATCCTTGCATAGGCGTCGGAACAGGTGGGGGGGGGGGCGGGGGCTTAGCCCCCTCTTTTCTAGGTCAACTGAGTAACTCAGGTGACCTATTGCTATATGTTTTCGTCCGGCGTCGTGTGTTAACATTTGAACATTTTCAGCTTCTTCTCTGAAACTACTAAACCAATCTCAACCAATTTGGTATACATCATCTATGGGTGAAGGGGAACAAAAATTTTGAATTTTGGCCCCCCCCTGGGGCCTGAGGGTTGAGGCCAAAACCACTAAAAATATTGCAATTTTTAAAAATCTTCTACTAACTTCTGGACATCAATCAGGCAGACTGTTGGCATGAATGTAATGAACATTGAGTCCTCTACCAAAATTGTAAAATTCATGGCCCCAGGATCAGGGGTACTGGTGCTAGGGCGGGGCTATAATGATTATATAGTGCAAATGCATTATTTCTTTGAAAATCTTCTTTTCTCCTGGGTATTAAATAAATTAACTAAGCATATAGTCATGATGAGCAAGCGTGTCTCTTCCAAAATTGTAAATTTTATGGCCCCAGGGTCAGGGGTTCTGGTGTTAGGGCGGGGCTCTATTGATTATATAGTGAATATGCATTTATTCTTTGAAAATTTTCTTTTCTGCTTCTTGGTATTAAATAAACTAACTAAGCATATAGTTATGATGAGCAAGAGTGCCTCTTCCAAAATTGTGAATTTTATGGTCCCAGGGTCAGGGTTTCTGGTGTTAGGGCGGGGCTCTATTGATTATATAGTGAAAATGCATTTATTCTTTGAAAATCTTCTTCTCTGCTTCTTGGTATTAAATAAACTAACTAAGTACATAGTTATGTTTCAGGCACGTAGTATCAGGGGGGGGCCAGGGGGGGCTTGGCCCCCCACTTTTTCTCCCGACATTACCTTTACTATAGAAAATGTTTACTGAAAGGAAGGTTGGCCCCCCCACATTTCAGCAGAGTGTAGTGTTATAAAGGAAATTTACCCGAAAAAGGTTGAATTGAAAGATAGTTGGTCTTGAAAAAAGTTGGCCACTACCCCCCCCCCCCCCCCCCCCCCATGAAATAGGATTTTCGACTTTGGGCAACTTTTTAATTTTTTTTTTTTTTTTTTTTTTTTTTTGCTTGTCAACTTTTTCAGGTAAGTAAAAAAAAAATTCTCAGGTTGGCCCCCCCACTTTCAAAAACGATGCTACGTGCCTGTGTTTAGCTGCAGAACTGTAGCTCTCTGCTTGAGAAAATTGGGACAGATAATACTTTATCTGTCCGAAGTTATCTCCATATCCTTCTCAAGCAGAGAGCTACAGTTCTGCAGCTAAGTTATGTTGAGCAAAAGTGCCTCTTCCAAGATTGTGAAATTTATGGCCCCAGGGTAGGGGTTCTGGTGTTAGGGTGGGTCTCTATTGATTATATAGTGAAAATACATTAATTCTTTGAAAATCTTTTCCTTTGCTCCTGGTTTTTTTTGACAATGATCGAAGTATATATATTTATGATGAAGAAAGGTGCATCTAGCAAAATGGTTATAAATGGGACTGACCTCATATAAAACCATTAATTTTATAGCTCGCCTATAAGTCGGACATAGAGTTTTGGACCAGAGAGTAACTCCCAAAAATCCGACTACTTATAGTCAAGTATATACGGTAATCAACTATTTTATGATAGAATTTGCAAAATTTTGAAATATGTGGCCCCAGGGTCAGTGGTTTCTTTGTGGAGAGGTGCACAACTGGTTATAAAGTGGAAGTGCATTTTCTCTTTGTTACTCTGATCTACCTCTGGGTAGTAAGTAAATAAAGTAAGCATACTAAGTTAATAATTATGATAAGAAATGGTGCCTCTTTCAAAATTGCGAATTTCATGACCTCTGGTTTAACACAAGAACCAAATTTAATTGTTTGAAAGTTGTTACACAATACTCAAGTGACCTATAAGGCCCGTGGTTAACACTACCAATTTGGGATTTTAAAATATATTCCTCTATCATTGAAAATTTTGTTGATGAAAAATAAAAATGCAAGCATATACTCTTTGTATACTTACTATAAACCTGGCTCTGTGCTATCCTAGAGTCCCTACATCATATACAGGACGTGCATCGTCCAATCAGCTCGTAAACATTGTAGATATACCACAGAATATCTAGTTTCGAAATTTTTTCATGACCTCTGGTTTAACACAAGAACCAAATTTAATTGTTTGAAAGTTGTTACACAATACTCAAGTGACCTATAAGGCCCGTGGTTAACACTACCATTTTGGAATTTTAAAATATATTCCTCTATCATTGAAAATTTTGTTGATGAAAAATAAAAATGCAAGCATATACTCTTTGTATACTTACTATAAACCTGGCTCTGTGCTATCCTAGAGTCCCTACAGCATATACAGGACGTGCATCGTCCAATCAGCTCGTAAACATTGTAGATATACCACAGAATATCTAGTTTCGAAATTTTTGCTATCTCTCTATCTCAAGTTGTAGGTGGAAATTTTAGCTTATACTTTCTAAGCCCATCCCTTATTCAGAAAAGGACTAGCGCGCACAACCTAACATGTTTAAACAGGAACAATCTAAATATGTGAATAGATAATTTTACAAACGATAAAAGAAAATATGAAGTACACATGTATAAGGTCTTGAGAGATAAAAAAAAAAAGTGTACACTGATAACCTAATTTCTTCTCGAAACTTCCAAAGAATAACTGACGGCAGAACAAAAATGTTTTTGCTATAGTCATGCTGATGTCTTCCAATAAAATATTGTTTTCAACAATTTACGTGATAAAAATGCATTTATATAATTTTAATTCTTTGAACCTGTTCTCATTTGCTCCTGGGCATTACGCCGATTACATACTGCATACAAGG